TTCATTCACATATTGTTTTTCCAGAATCATTATGAATTTTACATTCAGTGGGATTAAAATTATTCAAAATGATATCCTGGTCTTGCTTTGCGACATAACACCAGTTGTGATTGTACCTTCGGACCAATCATGATATTTTCTTTGCCCGAAAAAGCCGCACTTGCTTTTTCGTTGCGAATATCGACCTGTAATTAGCTGGTGAATTGAAATGGCTGATTTATACGTAATCCATGTTAGGCGCATTTGGCATGATGAATGATGAAAGATAAACTGTGTGCTATGCATGTTTTTCACTTTTGTTAGCTATCATTCGGACGTTGATTCAAAGCGGATTTTAGATCAATCTAATTATCAATTATTCGGTGAAACATGGAACTCAATGACTTAATCTGTATAATTCATTTAATTGTTTTGAATGATCAATGTACATCGCCTCTTCCCCCATCGTCCTACATTTTTTTTTTGCAATTGCTGGGACCCATTTATTTTGTTATTTATGAACAAATATATTTCTGACGAAGAAATTCAAATTGACAGATCTCACATTGGACCTCCCCTTTTCTTTCCGAAAATTTCCCTTCTTTATCCTTACATATGTCGACCTAGTTTGGGACATTTCTTTATCCTGATCAATTCGATAAGCTTGCCATCATCTCATTTAATCAATGCTACAAGGCTAGTCAATTATTCGATGGAAGTAATTCGATAAAATTCAAATTGCACCTTTCCAAGGATTTGTTTCCCTTCCCATGTGATGACACACGGTGAAATGATCCCCTTATAATCGACATAAACCGGAAGCCATTCTTTTTCCCCAAATGTACCGCATACCGAAAATGGTTGCCAAGAGTAATCATAGCCGCGCACATTATGTCCAAGCTCGACTAACACTTGCAACGATCCAACCTTATCACGATACTCATGCCCGTTCCAGCCAAATGCTGCTGCAACCTATAGTATAATTTTAATTTTTTGTCGATTTTCAAACTACAGTGTGGAAGAAAACATTCAGGTTTAAATTTGCTTTCACATTTGGAATCAAAAAGTAAAATAAAGTAATCGGGAGTTGCAAGGAAACAAGGAGGACTTAAAATTGAATCAATTTTTGAGTCAGATTTGAATTACGAATTTGGTGATACCCTTAAAAGTACGTCAATATTGATGTTCCAGAAGTTTGCTGGATATCCGACTCTCCATCACTATCTTGTGTCTGTTTAGCTGTCCAATGTTTTATTTCTCTTTTTTACTTCCATACTTTTGTTTTTAATTTCTTTACAGGAAATTAGACATAAAATTTCTCTATGACTCTACTACTGTATTTTATTTTATCTTAGAATTATGTGCTAATCTAATCTAAAGCGTGATTCCAGCTGCAGTACTCTCTGGTAGATCGCGGCGAATTCTAGATGATTTCCCGGAAGATGTTGTATTTCATCTTATCAAACTTTTCTCTCTCAAGAAATATTCCCATAACGTTAGACAAAAAAAAGAAAAAAACCTTTCCATTGCTATCTTTCCAAATTCTACCCATAATTGGTTCACCTTGTTGGTACCACAATGCTACATATTGATCTGGATCTTCTTTCGGTATCGTATCTAACGTTTTCCCAAGCGCTTGTACCAATTTACGTGTTGGCCATGGATCACCCATACGTAAATCCATCCATTCATCACGCATAATTCTTGGTGGCGGTGGTCCGGGTGGTGGTGGCGGTGGTGGTTCTTCTGGTTTCGGTGGTGGTGGAGGTGGTACATAGCATTTCTTGCATTCACAACCAGGTGGCCCACCTTTGAGATTGCGTACAATAATATACATATCATCAAGCACTGTTCCTTGTAAGATTTCCGTCTTACCATCATGCGAAAAATGTGCCTAACAATTAGAAATCTTTCGTTTCTAAAATCAAAAAAGAAAATTAATCTCAAATGATAATTAATTACAAAGAGAATTTGGGTATTAGTTTACAAATCTGTCATTAGCCGTCCTACATTTCGTTAAAAACAATCTACTGCTTCTGTTGTCGTTGTCATTTTCATGCACATCAGAAAATTATCATCTCTGCTTTCTGATATATCAGTAAGTATATCGCTGTTTATTTAGGATATTTAACATTCAAAATTAGGGAAACAACAAACAGTATAATTTATCATTTATCAAAAGATGACAGTGTCCTTTTATTTTAAGAATTTCGGAATGATGCAATTTCTCGCAGAATGATGAAGGATTTAGAAGGCTTCCGATGTCAATAAAAAGATAAGCGTTTGATTCGATCCATTCATCTAGCCGGATTAACTAACCAATTCGGTTGCATCTAAATAACCCATAAGTGGACCAGCTTTACGATTTTTCCACAAAATTGGCAACGAATCGCCACATTTCAACTTCTGTCTTTCCTCGGTCTTCTCAAAACGATCTTTGTATTTGATCCATTCATACCAGAAACCAAGTAAATTGTGATCGCCTTTGTATTGCAATATCTAAACATTTCCCGTGTCATACATAATGGTTAGTTTTTGCTTCATTAAATATGTACAATAACAATTAAAGTTTTAGGTCACTGAGAGATAATTGGAAAGCTTTTTTCTACCAATAAGATGCAAAATCAAAAAATGGCTGATGAATCTAAAGAGCAATTCTGCTGAGAAACATTCATTGTTGAAATCATTATGCATCTTAAGCAGTGGGTCAAAAACAGTTAGATTGTATGAAACTACAGAAAACTCAATTAAAAATTCCAAAAAAAAAATTTACGAAGTCCTAGAAATTGTTAAAAATATTGGAATAGCAAAGAAAAATAGGCTAGAGGGGAAATTCAAATTCAATTTTTAGTTAAATTACTTAAACAATATGTCGAATAAAAGCTTTGGAGTTTATCATTTATCGTCATTGCACAAACTTATCTGTAAAAAGTTTAAAAAATTAATTAAAAAAACACTTCCAGCATTACGACACTTATACATCTGCTATAAAAATAACCTGGTCATTAGTTTATAACAATTTCAATTTCAGAAACAAACTTGGATTTGTCCTCCCAAATCTTTAGCTCCAGTTAGTTCAGCATTTTTATACGGGAATGAGCATTCCAAAACCCCTCCGTTATTCCATGCACGGCCATGAATCGGTTTTCCGTGCTTGTACCACAACGCGACGTACTGATTAGGTTGGTCCAATGCATGGACGGGGTTATCCGGAAACGGTGATCCAATCGGACCAAATGCCCAAGTATCTTCTTGTGCTGGTGGATTGCCCATCGTCCACTATCAACTTCCCGTGATCAATCAGTTGCTCTTTAACGCCAGTCGAAAATCCAAGAATTGTTACAATGAACAATTATTTCAGACCTACACATACTTATATAATGGATTTTCTAAAGTAAAAATGCAAATTTATTGTAATCTACACCTTCGCTGCAATTGAATCTTCTGGGGAATGGGTACTATCTTCACATTCACATTCATTACCAACCACTAATCATCTTCGATAATAACCTAATCGAAGCATTGAAGTTTTATTAAAAATTGATAAATATAATAATAATTGAAGTGATAACAGTGTTAGAAATGTCGTTGTAAGTAATATTACCCGTTGATATTGCTTTAAAATGTTTTGCGTTTAGTCAAAAAATTAACACCTAAACAGTAAAGCTCCGAAGCTTTGTTTCAAAATATTCATTAATTACAACTTCTAATTCAACATTAGAGACCTGAGTGGATAATTATTTCGGGCCTAATCTAGAAAAATTTAATTGTTAATATTTCCCCTTTCCTTTCTGATTATTATTCGTCCTCCTCTCCTTATATCCCATTCTTTCTTGCTTTTTTGTTCAGTTGAGAATGACTCATTTACTCCTTTACCGGAATGATAACATAAAATAATGTTCAATTCTTTATTTGAAATGATTGAAATGATATTTACTGCTTTACCTAAATCAATATTTTATTGTTTTGTAGCTGCATTGCTAGTTATAGTTGAAAAATTGGAAAAGAAAATCAGGCAGTTGATTGGAATGAATAATAGGAAGTATAATTGTATTGCATAAAGTGCACGTTTTAAAAAATCTTTTAAATTTATCCAACTATCAATATCAACTTTATCCTTCTCATCCCATTTCGAAAATAAAAATTGGATAGGGAAAAGGAGTGGAAGAGGGGAAGATAGAATAGATCAGTTGGTGGGAAGAAATGGATGTATCCGATTCAGCACATTTATTAGCAAATGATTTATTTGACCTAAAAAAATTAAAGAATTTTATTGTTACGCAATTTTTTCCGTAACCAGCACAAACTTGCCATGTATTACGAATGGATTGAAATTTTGTTTTTGATCGAAACAACTTTGGAGAGAGTTCTGTGATTTGCTGTTGCATTTCATCTTACTAAAGTTCTTAAATATGTGAAATTTAAATGAGATAATTTTGATTTTATTTTATTCGTAACTTCAACAATCATTCAAAGTTTCATTTAGAGTTTCGTTTTGAGCTCATCACTTTTCCTAATCTTAATATTTTTCAACTTTTCAGTTCCTTATTTGTTTTTCCTGGTAGTTTATTTATTTTTTTATTTTTTATTTTTTTAAAAGACAAGATAAAAAGCGTATGGCAAAAGTATTTGGAAGATTTTTTAATAATGAAACTAAAAGATGATAATTTGAAATTTCTCCATATTTTGTTACACTTTCAAATTAAAGTTTTTGCTGTTTCTGATTTCAAATTATATAATTTCTCGTTTTTCATGATAAATATTTCATCAAATTCTTTCATTTCATCTGTTAGCTTTCGTTTTATCGTTATGAATTCAAATCACCGAAAATTGGAATTTTTTGTGAGCTTTTACAAGGTTTCCTCTATCTTTGTTATGTTCCATTGAAATGGATAAACTTATCGATTCCATTGGTTTATCTGTCACAAATCAGCTAATATTGTCACATTGGACATACAGAACACTGAATACACAGCACAGATATTTCCTCTGAGGTAGTTCAATGAATCTGTAAAAGAAAAAAAAAATTGTCGGCATATTGTATCAGTTATTATATTTTCTTAAGTTATTATTACACTTTAATAATCAGTTATTATGTTTGTTTGTTTGTTTTTCTTTTTTGAATTTTGGATTTTGAATTGTTATATTTTTTTGTACACTTTAATTATCATTAGCTATGACATTTTCACGCAAATGAATTGCCATCTTTTCAATATTTTGAGTTTTAAATATATTTTTTTGCATTTTTCTTTTTTTGTTCAATTATATTTTCATACGAGCAAGTTGCCGCATTTTTTGCGTAATGTTTTTTAAAATACTTCGTAGTTATTATGATTTTTGCAAATTATGGTTGAAAAAACAAACAATCACATTTTTATTTGTAATAGGTTTCATTCTATAATATTTCGAATAATATTTTAATTCATATTTTTACTAAACATACAAAATTTGACATTACTTGATTAGTTTGTAATATTATCATAGTTTTAAATCAACAACGTTTTGATCTATATTTTCATTTATTCAGTTAAAATAAATTTTAAGCTATTAATGCTTGTTGTTCAATTAATTGATCAGAACGTTGTTTACTTATTTCATTAATTGTTCGATGAAAGAATGGACGAATAAAGTAAAGCAATCTTATCATCTCCAACTTTACTTTCCTCTTCTAATTAATATAATTATATTTTTGATAATCAGTAATGCTTTTCATTTCTCGTTAAATATTGCAGGTTCATCATCGCTGCGCACAGTTATAAATAATATTTGAATTGGTCTCCAACGATGAAAAAGAATTTTATTGAAAAGATTTAAATTATCGTAATGATTATTGAATAACTAATTTTATTGTGAAAAAGTGTTTTTTTTTGACTTCAAAAGAAAAAAACCATGAAAATTACATGCATTTGTTAAACTGTATTAACCATAAAATTTTCATTAAATGCTGGAACTGAATAGATATATTACTATAGTTTTCTACTTATTATTATTTTTCCGACTTTGATTTCAATTCAAAATTCCTCCTACTAATTCAAATTTCCAATATGAATTTGGGCTTTCATCCAATATCAATTTGGGTTTTCATTTCAGGTGTTTTTTTGACATCAAATTTGCTCTTATTAACACCAGTTCGGAATAACATTAACGCCAAATTCGGAATTTCATTTTTTACCAATCCAAATTTCGAACGAAAAATCTCATCGTTTCAAATTATTCCCCGATGGGTGAAAAGAATTTACATTTTATTCCATTTTTCGCTCTTTATTTTCCAGATCAATTTCATTACGACAACATGTCGCATTTATCATTTTTATAATGTTGATGACAATTTATTTTTCCTTTTCTTTCTTTTTTAAAAACTTTTTATTACATAAATATCAGAATCATTTATGACAATAATGAGACAAAATCATTCAACAGCGAGCCCCACTTAAACGGAAATTCCTTTTGAGATATTTCCGGTGAAATGATAGAACTTTTTATAGAACTTTTTTTTCCGTACATATTCAGAAATAAGTTTTCGTTCGCAATCCATTCAACTGGTCCCGTCTAACAATGTCATCAGGAAATATACTACTATATATAGGTAGATAAAATGATTATTACATCACTGCATAACTTCTTTGGAATTGCTTGCAAGTAACACTTTATATTATCCATTTTTCTACAAACAAATTTGAAGTTAAGGCCAAAAACAAATATTTATCAAATTTATGAATTTTTATTGAAAGCCGAAATCGTAATCTTTAGTTCTTAATTGAATAAAATATTAAAAACCGGGTCAGATCCAATTTATCAAATTTGAAGGAAACATTTGCCTATTTCTATTAGTACCTGAATTGTAAACTCTTTAAATTAAATTAGGTTTACTTCTTCTGCCTACTTTAGCTAAACTTCTAATTTTGTCTCATTTTGTTGATAGAATGAAATGTTAGTTCGGCTGAAATTAATTTACTAATTGACACATTGCTTATTTTTTCACTTTTTTTCAAAGATAAAACAGCCTGATAAAAGAAAAATTTTTTTGAAATTCGACGGAGTAAATGCTGCAAATAAATTCTTACTAATTCATGCAAAAATATTAGATCTATCCATCTATCCTTTCTAAAATAAGTGAGAAGTTTGGGGAAAGATAAATTATGGAAAGAAGGGAGAAATGAGGTCATTCAACGGTTACCTTACAAGCGTAAAATTACTTCAGTCACTTTTTGAATCCATTCAGATGCATTTCTTATCAATCATCTGTCGTCATCTTTTTTTAAATGGGATAATGTGATATTAACTCTATCATCATACTGCTGAATCATTTTAAGCAACCAGTGTATTACTATTTCTTTTTAACATCGATTCAAAGTTAACCGACGCGATAAAACGGAATAATGAGTTTCAATAAGTATCAGGAAATTTCGAAATATACAATTGTAAGGTCATTCTTGATCAGAATATAAAATTCGTTATAAAATCAAGAGATTAGTAGAATTTCCATTGAAATATGATATATTTCGAGTGGCAATTATTTGCCAATGATAAATTGAACACTGAAACTATCAGTTTTATACGCAACGAATATTGTCAAAAATTTTCAAATGCTTCAATAATGGTCATATTTCATTAGCTTTTGCAAAAAAATTTTTTTTTTTGACTCATTCAATGCAAAAATCCTGCAAAAATCTTTTGTTTTCATTATACAAAATGAGAGAAATTTTCATTCGAATTTAACTTCCAATGTGAAACAGCAAAGGTTTAACCAACATTTTCATGAAATTTTCCGATCATCAAATAATGGGATAGAAAGAATGAATGAAACTAATGGCATTGTTGTTTCTGATTGAACGGAACATAATAATTTTATCATTTATGAAATTAAGATATCAGGTTTTCATGAATGAATGGTATCTTCCACTTTGAATCAATGTAAATTCACTAAACAATGGGACCGATTTGAGAATTGGTTTTCAAATTTCATTTTCACTTTTATGCTATTTATCGTCTAAAATCATCAAACAACACTCCTGAACATTTTACACTCCAGAAAATTCAATCTAAACTTCTCAGTTTCGGACACAAATACTTTTTTCTCCATTTTCTTTTTGCGAAGACTCAATTTTCCTCTTTCAGTTTTCGAGACAAAGGAACGATTATCATCTACCAATATTAATTTCTCAAACACCTTTATCTCTTTATATTTGTATTTCGTAAAATGTTATAAGTGACAATAACTTTATTTTTAATTGCTGCTTAACTTTGCTGCATTTTACCTTTGCATAGGTTAG